AACCACTCGACGGGTGGATGCCGACTGTCCCGGGCAGTGTGCGCCAGCTTTGAAAAACAAACTCGCGCAGTCGAACAACTTCTCCAGGTCGAGGAGCAGCTCGGCCACCTTTGTGTCCTCCAAGTGAAGTGATGCTTGATCTAACGCCAGCGTGGCATGTGCTGCGTGAAGAGCTGATGGCCCTTTGATCGATTGACCCCAGAAGCTTGCCCTCTTCGCGACCTGAGAGATCCTTATGACATAGTTCTCCATCGATGCATATTGGCACTGGCACAAGGCCTACTGTGCGCTCGGACTCTGCAGGGTCGTCCGGCCTCTTCTGTGCCAGCCTAGTGCGCCACGAGTGCAGCCCTGAACTGAACCATACCAGCCGCACCCCAATATGTAAGAGCAGTTGACCGGAAGTGCCGCAACATACCCTGGCGCCAATCTGTCTGCGCCCAACGCCGTCGACTGCTTGCGCATCTTCGCCGCCATCGGAATTCGACTTGCCAGGTACTGTGGCATTCGTTATCACCTGAGGCCTTCCAAGCTTGCTTCTTCAAGTGCATCAGCGCAACAGGAAGCCCCTCGTCATCCGCATGCTGCTTTCATCTTTTCTGCCAGTTGTGCGACCGTAGTTGTACTCCACGTTGTAGGGCACCTGTGGCCTCATGTGACGAGGGGGTCACAACCTGCTGCCACAAGAACGTCTCCTTAGGCTTGATGCGTGCCGATGCGCCTGCGCGGTGGATCCCACGCAAGCCTTCCTCGCCCATGATTTAATTTCTTACCTTCTCAACTGCCAATCCTTCCGAAGGTGCCTGTCCGTTGGCTGAGTCCCAACTTCAGAAGCTTCGTGGCGCTTTAGAGCTGCTGCTGGATGTTTTTAAATCGCACGATGATAGAACACGGCTGCCGCTTTGATGGCCTCTCGATCTGCGTCCACAGGTAGCGTGGCATACTGCCGAGCCAGGAATATTTGTTTTCCTTCGCAGCGTAATCGTTGCGTTGCTGAGAGTGCCATCCGCTTCTCGCAGAACTTGCCCGCGTGCCCATGGTTGTTATCTCCAGCGCGTGAGGTACTCAGTTATCTGCGCCAGCCACCTGTTTGTTTGCATTGGTGCAGCTCCTCGGGTGCGTCGCAGTGGCCGTCTTATCCCATGCCATCTATGGGCCAGCGGGTTGCCGCGGGCCTCGTCTGTGCCATCGCCTTGGTGAGTGATGGCTCCCCTCCAGCAATGCTGGATGTGGCTCCCCGTGGATGATGGTTCGTAGTCTGTGCCGGCCAGTTCTTCGAGGCACGCCTCCGCTGCAGTTGCCCATCGTAGGGGCTGCTGGTCCAGCGCGTGCGAGGTGGCCTCCGCGACTCATGCGACATTCGCCTCATGAAGCGCTGCCGCCCAGGAGTAGAGGGGGGTCGCGTTCTCGCTTTCGGCTCTCGCCCAACTCCCCGCGCCACCTTCGCCGGCGATGGTCCTGGGCGCAGTTGTTCAAAGCGGGTCGCCATGCGGCGCCGCCGAGGAATTGTCCTCGTCCAAGTTTTCTGTTGACTCAAGGCCTGGTGCCTCAAGAACTTCTTGTCGATCCCGGAGTGCCTTTTTTGGCACTTCGGCCACGGCGATCGAAACCGTCGGGAAGTGCAGCTCCGCGGGCGCTCTCGGTCCGTGGATCGCGATGGCCGCTGGGCCCGCCGTCGCGCGCAACTCGGGGCCGACGTGCGGGCCCCAGGGTAACCCTGAAATAGGAACCAGGCCAGAGCTTCGCCGTTGATGGCGGTATCCGTGCCTTATCTATTAAACCTGCGTTGTGGCGGGTTGACGCAGCTCCTCCAGGTGTCATCGCAATGCCGCCATGTCTGTCGGGCCATGCGCGGCGGGTGGGCGTGCGGGACAAGGTTCTAATCGCCCGAAACGCCCCATCGAGTTTTGACTGCTCGGGTTGCCGCGAGGAGTTTGGATGGCATTCCGACATTCGCCCCTAGGTTTATTCCGATGTCGTGATCGAGGTACAGCACGAAACAAGCAATGGTAAACCCTTGTGGCCTGAGGGGCGCAAGGCAAATTTCGGTGGGGCTGCCTTCTAGAAAACTCCTGCCGCTGGCTGCCACGGCATGCGCATGGGTGCTGATGTGCATCCTCCGCAGCCGATGGGCCCCCCGCGTGGATTCTTTGCCCGTCGTCGCCGCAGGCGGGGCCCAAATTTGCTGGCATGTCCAACCTTTGAGACCAATATGTTTTGTTTTCCCGTTCGATGCCATGCTCCCTAATGCGCGTTTCGACCGGTCCACCCAAGCCGAATGAACTCTCTCAATATCAACTCCTGAACTTCTTCGAGCGCCCGGCCATGGTGCAGAAGAACCCTGAACTCGGCTCGCGGGCCCTCGCTGCTTTCACCGGCTTCCTGCTGTCGAAGTATATCATCTGCTTGTCTGGTCTTGAACGCGTCCAGGGCAGGCGATGGGGCCCTCCTCGCATGCTTCCTCTTCATGTGGCATCGTGAAACTGAAGGGATGCGCAGGTCAGTTTGGTCCACCGTTTAAGCATTGGGCAACAAAGCTGCTCGCAGTAGCTCTTCCCCTGAGATCCTGTGCCTCGTCTCTCGCATAAGCTGTCGCAGTCGCCGATGGCCCCGGGCTCTGCCTCTCTCCGTTGCGCGCGAAGAAAATTAGCCCATGGCAGCGGCTCGGGGGGCCTCCAGTTCTGCGGGGGGCGATGCAAATTAGCCAAAGCGCGCCCCAATTGCCCTTCGCACCGCGCGCGGATGACCCGCCAGTCGCGGTCATTCTCGCGCTGCTAGCCGTTGCGGCCCCCGGTTCCGAACCAAACCCGGAGTCCGTGCAGGCGCGTGTCTGCTTCTCCTCATGCGCGCCGAGGAAGGCCACTTCTGCCCGCGGCGTCAGTTGTCCACCGTGCGTGCTCAACTTGGCGTTGAATTCAATCGGCCCTTTTATTCTCCGAAATTCTCGTGGCCATCTGGGTCGTTCCTGGATTCCTTCTTGGCATTCGGACACTTGGTGGTCTCCCACGAAGCGAAGATCTGGAACTTTCGCTGAGCAGAGACGGCTGTTGGCGAAGATGGGGCGTAAGGTCTGCGTGCGTCTCGTGCACCGTTGCGCGCGCATGAGGGGGCCTCTGCTTCTCGCCGTCGTGCTCGTCCACACGTTTTTTTGCGGACTAGCTCGGCAATGCCACTTGCTCCAGCGCCTGGGTAGCGCTGTAGTGCGACCCGTCGCGCTCCTCGATGTTGGGGTAGCCGGAGGAGGGTGGTGGCGTGGGCCTGACACCACTCGTGACATTCGGCTGGGCCATTGAACTCCTCTCTCGCAGGTCCGTAATCCGCATCGCCGCGCATGTTCTGGCTTCTTGTTCGAGACGGCTCGCTCTGTCGAGCTGCGGCTGCCACACTTCATCCAGGACTTCCCCGTGCTGGAATCCATGGCCAGCGCTCGCATTCATTTCCAAGTTCCAAATTCCAATGATGTTCCGATGCATCGCCACAGCCCTTCTTCTCAGACCATGCGCTTCCCTTGCGCCGACTCCAAGTCTGCCGAATGCTAGAACTTCGCTGCTCTGGGATGTTGTTCTCGGCCGTCCGCGTCCAGTCGAGCCTCTTTCATCTGTCGGTGGCTTCAGACTTTCCACTGCTCGCGCTGGCCGGACTTGCTGCCGCCATTTTGTTGAGAGGCCGCTGCTGTGGCGCTTGCCTCTCCGCCCCCAGCGACTGCTCCTTATTTTGTGTTCCGCTTCTTGTATTCAGGCCTCTCGAGGTGCGACTCGTGGTCGTCCAGAGCTTTGGTGGCCTTGTCTGGCGAGCCATTGAAGACTGTGGCCGTCGCTGCTAGGATTTTATTGGGAATGTCAACTCTTCTCTGCTCAAGCTCGTCTATGCCCGATTGTTCGAATGCGTATGTTTGCTGAAGTCTGCCAGGACATCGTCGCATCTGATGACCTTTGAGAGCTCCAGCTCGCTATCTACCAATTTGCCCATACAGGGAGTGGGTGTACTGTCGTCCCTGCCCAGCACCACTGCTTTTTTGACTTCGTCAAGTACAGTGCGGACATCTTCATCGGTTTGCTTGGGTTCGCCTCGCATGTTCTCAATCGTGCCCGTGTGCTCAACCATGCTGACGCGTCGCCTTTCCAATTTTTTGTCTTCCGCGTTGAGCTTCTTCTCGATTGATATTTGCTTCTGTTCAGCCCGCTGCCACTTCTGACGCTCCGTAGGCTGTGCCGTTTGAGATTGGCTGCGACTGGCCGCACACTGATGGTAGCGTTGAGCGCCTTGATGGTCTCCTGCTGCTGCCGCTGTTGCAAACGTAACCAATTCATTTGCTTTCTCGGCTGTGATGAATACCGGGGGTCCTCGTGGAAGAGCATGTTCAGCTCCAGGTACAACGTCTCGACCTTTGCCTGCCTCGCCGCCCTTCCATGCTGAACTCTGCTTGCCACCGTTCTTCCCGATTGTGCCTCTTATGTTTCCTCCTCCAGGTCCGCCGTCGTGTGGTTCATGTCCTTCATTCTAGCCTTGCGCAACAAGGATGCTTCGTAGTGCTCGCAACATCGGCATCTTTTGATGTAATTTTTCGCAGTGATATGATGGGCACGTGACGATGCCTTTGCCAGAGAAAGTGTGCCACCAGTCCTCACCCTTGTCTTTGACAGAGTGGGCTGACCAGTAGGATCCGTCCCACGTTTTTAGATGCTGCGCCCATGGAACACGATCCAATCATCACCTTTGCCACTGCTGTGCGGGTCCGCTCCGAGGGAGAGCTCGGAGAAGATGTGGAACGATGCCACGGGCGAGAGGTATTCTCGCCATCTTCTGGGAAAGCACCATCTTGAGCCAAAGCGGCTACCGAGGAGGCGGAGGAGGAGGAGAGGCAGGAAAAGTAGGAGGAGGAGGACGCGATGGAGCCGGGGGAGGGCTCCGAAAGTTTCCGAGACTCTCGGAGGCTGTCGGAAAGCCTCCGAAGCTCGTCGGCGGCGGCGGCGGCGGCGACGCCCCCTCCCGCGGGCGAC